AACCGAGTTAACTCTCTGAACTGGACTTAAATTCGGTAATTGGGGCTGTAAGTATTACTAGGTTATAGGGATGGGACTATGTGATCTTTGTCAGTATGATATGATTCAGCACTGGTTTGATTATGTAAAGAACAACCAGATACATTGACTTACATTCTGTAAGGCTGTGTTTTTACTAAAAATATGAAGTCACTGGTGTAAGGAGACCACACAGCATATATCTCTAGAGAAAGAGATACAGTTTGTATTACAATATATTACCTTAACCCCACTAGCTTAGGGAGTGCAAAATGACAGACATGTCTGCTCAAAACAGGACTAGAATCACTGACCACTGCAGATAAAATCAAAATGATCCCGCCTTCCCTGGAGAGAAAAATGCCACTTGTATGATCCCGTTTACACTTTGATTTGAAATATTTGCTTTGATAAGGGCGCTCCAAAAAAAGTTGATACAATCCATGAAAGCTTTCATAATACATCCATGTACAAATCTGGCGCTTGTCCACTTCTTTGACTGAGGAGACTACTGGCAACAGAATGACGTAATAACCATGCATGTCGCCTTTTCTCCTTTTAGTGGAAGTGACACAGAAGTAATGATATCTGAACACAAGCAGTCTGCTTGTATAGAGATGCATGTATAAAGACAGGTGTGAATGACGATGTGTCTAGGTTGTCCACAACGCATTTTAAAACCCCTAACTTCAGCTCAGTATAGCATTGCCTCCTACCCCTTATAATGTAATCATGTCCTATTTGGATAAATAAAATGCTCTGTCCCATGTTGCCATTTGTCCCATATTTTTGTGCACATTTTTAATGCTTAACTGTATTATTCACAGTGGTTAAAACATCATAATATTAAGTAAAACCATAGCAGTTTAGAATAGCTGAGAGGTCAGCGGGATAAAAGCAGGCTCTGTCATCCTAAAGCACAGCGTGCTGTGGTTCTGTGTTGCCTCATCTCCCTCCACATTGACTACATGTATAGTTCATGGATAGGTATCTCTCTTTTTTACATGAAGTTTAAAACAACATACATCTGCTGCGGAAACACTTAGAGAAATTAAGTTTAAAAAATGAAATGTTTAAAATAGCTGTGCATCTAGCAGAAGTAGCTGTGGAGAAAACAGAGGGGTTAGCAGAGCAGCAGATTCAGGACCACAGCTCCCAGTGAGCCCAGTACAAACAGCAGTTAAGCTTTAGAGCATAAGGGGTAGCCAGAAAGAAGCCAGTCCAAGTTCAGTTAACAGAGTATTGTTGTATAGCTTCATTTTCTCAGGGTTCAACAGATATTGTAATGATTAGCTCAAACTCACAATTTTATAAATGAAGGAAGAAAAGAAATGACGTCTGTTGATGTTGGTAGATGACCGTTATGACTTCACACTGAAGGTGGCAACCCTAGATCAGTAGTTACAATCATATTTCAAGGTGCATTTATTCTTGAGTCTGTTTAGAGTACATCCTCATGGGGACCGTCCTGTAATACATCTATGCACTAATGAGACTGTAATGCAATCTAGATACAAGCATCCACCAAATGACTGTTCCCCTTACCTGATAATAGGGCATGAAGAGTGTGCACACAGCACAGTATGGCTGCATGGTGGCTGCATGAGCATTGTACTCCTTCTCTGCTGTGAAGCAGCCCTTCCTGTTCTGCCACAGGTAAATTAGGGGCCTCGCCCACACTTCCATTTCCCGTTCCTCCTCCTCTGCCAAGCTTGCTTCAGGGGGCTCTAAGTGGAGACAAACATAAAGCCTTATAACCTTGCAATCACATACAACAGCTATTCAGCCGGTGGCTCTGATGGTTCATGCAATACCAAGTGCAAATAATCTCGTCTGGTTGTGTGTTAATTAGGCCTATTCTGAATCTGAACAATAGTATGACCTGAATATCAAAAACACAGCTTGCATCACTCTCACAGTTGACTTCAGCAGCTTTAACAGACTTGCTGCCAAGTCAGATCTAATCCATTCACAATGGTGACAATTTCCTCCAGAGACCTGAAAAACATTTTCAATGAATAGGTGCCTGCTGGTTTAGAAATTTGCCTAAAATGATTTAGAGCTCTCTTAATCATTTATGCCATCATAAAATAGGCTTTTCACAGCCATGGTCATTTCATGGTCATATCCTACTGAGGGAAAACAACTAAAACGGCTGATGAATTATTCATCCTTTTCACAACCATGGAGATGATGAATGTGACTGTGTGTATATATGCATTAGTAGTTGTTAATTGAGTGACCCTCCTTCCCATTCTGTTAAAACCATGAAAACAAAAAGATTACCTATCACTGGGTCATTTTACTGTGGTAGGCCTGAGTGTTAAATCTGTTTGGTTTATGTGCACCTTGACATCAGAAGAATAATTGTGTTAAAAAAAAAAAAAAAGTGAGGAGCGGAAGTGAGAGCTGCAGAGTGGAACAGTTTGCTGATTATAAAAAGTTCCACTGTGGGAATGCAACCTGTTGTGACTTAATATTTAAAAATGTGTTAACTGATCACCGAGTCACTTCTATACTTCTTAGAATACTTTCCTGCTGGCTATACTACTTTTTAACAAAGAAAATATCATGAATGTGAACAGCGGGTTTTGGTCTACCAACACAACTGGTCTTAAAAAAAAAGTTTGTATTTTGGTTCATTGCAATGCAACAAACCTAAGTCAAATGTTCATTGTTACTGGCTTGTGCAGCAGCAATCACAACAGGAAATGTCCCTGGGTTTTTAATGAAATGAGCGTGGTTCTTGCATTAAAGTATGTGCATGTGTCACTGTCTGAAAGTCTTTCCAAGTCTAAATCTTACTGATACTTCAGTGAACTCTGTGTGTGTTTCAGTGTGCCCACCATCATCACTGGCAGCTTGTTGTTTGACAGCAGTGGGTACAGCCCTTGTAGTAGGTTTCCTGAGTGGGTGACGCCAGCTCTTTGTGGTCCTCTTCACTGACAGGGCAGGGTACTGGCATGAAAAGGCAACATTTTAAGGTGCAACAGTCTGTATTTAAACTGGAACAAAACATTACTGTGTGCAAAAGGACACTCACAGCACAGACTTCCCCAGGTTCCAGGCCTGATACATTGTATCCATAGTTACTCGTCTCATTTTCCTCATCATCAGATGAGTCACTGCTGCTCTCTCCCTTGACACTACTTTCCTGCTCTGCCTCTTCGCAATCAGATCCTCCTTCTTCCATGTCAGACACCCCATTCTGTTCTTCTCCTTCCATCCTGAGAGGTGAAACAGCAGTGCCAGAGTGCTGACTCTCCTCC